AGAGTCATACTTTCAGTTTTGTATGTAAGCCAGTGGGAGGCTGTAACTGCAACACCAATGCTCTCTCCTCCCACGGCCCTAATTAGACTCGTAGGGAAATACATGTTTCACATCACCCTCCCAGGCTTTTTTAGCATCCCAACAAGCACCAGTTTGTCAGCTGAGCTATTATGCGGAGTCAGCAGTCTGAGGAGACCCCGCTTTTCCCATTACACACGAAATAAGCAGCAGTCCTACAATAAATAGACACGTTATTAATCCAGGCATCCATTAATATGAGAGATTAGACCCTTAGCCTTTTACGCAGCAATACCGACGCCGCTAATTTAAGATGTAGTAAGAGCATAAAAATAGCCAAGTTACTCAATGCAGGGTTACGTCACGCAGCGGTGCTCATCAAGCAGCAGGTCTACAATACCACTCAGCCTCTGATGTTGGGAAAGATGATTCCCTGCCATTCCTGGCGCTCTCACCAAAAATAATTAGCAAGGACTGTGAGCTTCCCCTCCCCTTTCTCTCCAGCTCTCTTTGGAAAATAGATCTCACGGCCTACAACAGGAAGCAGCAAGAATACTGCTAAATTAAACTATTTGAAGTGTTTTGTTTGGGGTTTTTTTTTTCCCCACCCCAGGTATCCCACCTTGCTTCCTAGGAACCAAGCAGCAGAAAGAGTGGTGAAACTAAGAAATGTTCTGCTTACGTCAAACAGAGCTGAGCTCTAAAACCACAACGGTACATATACCCCGCTGCCAACTCAAAGCCGAGCCAACGAGGGAAAGAAAGTCTACAGTTCAGCAGAGTACAATGTTAGCAGGCCAAACACTGCCATGTACAGAGAGGAGGATTTATTTCTAAAGCTCCAGAGTTCATCTGCCGCTGCAAAGGCCAGAGCTGCAAGTGGCGCGCGTGTGTGTATGCATGCGTGCCCACGCACGCTTCTGTAATATGCGGCGTGATCTGTTCACCAGAACTGCAGGACAGAATATCGACTGGCTCCAGACGAACCACCCGCTTCTGTACTACTGTGGAAAAAATTTGCAACGCAAAGAGGCCGGTTTAATGGCAGGATCTTTGGCTTTTGCGGTATTTCTTAACACACGCAGATAGCACATGTGGATAAGCTCCCCTGCCCGTTGCATTTGTGATTAACTGGAAAAGAAAATCTATGTACTCGGCCATCTTCAGAACCGGCTGCTCAAGTTTTCCAAAATTAACTAAATCCTTATTTCCCATTCTGCAAACAGCATTAAAATGCACATTTTAAGAGGAGGGTAGGAGGGGGAGGTTGGAGGTCGTGGGTTGGGTTTTTTTTAAGCCTATAGGAAGTTTTGTGAATATACATAAAACCATTCCTTCCTTCCAGATTAATCCCTAACCTGTGTAATCTTTAACCTGTCCTTCACGCAACCCGCTCGGAGACACAAGTTCGTATTTGGCGACGCGAAGAAAACCGAACTGGTCATCGTTATACTTTCAGTTTCTGTCAATTTAAGCAGAGCGCGCGCGCCCGGGAACACACACACACGAATGACAGAGCTGCCCGAACAGGAAAGGCTGCGTTAACCAGTGTGTGCTGGAAGCTCCAGCTCCGGGAGCAGCCGATGAAAACAGCACGCCAGCATCCATGGAGGATGTTTTGGAAACCACAGATACAGCACCAGCACCAAAAGGCAGGCAGCAGATAGGAATACACAGCCGTCTCCCCTGCCACGAGCGATGTACTTCTAATCATTCACACACAAGCGTGTTACGATTGCCAAGCGAGCAACGGTATCGGCAATATCAGCTGCCCCAGCCTGTGCGTCCCAGCACGTTCTCCCCGTGAAGCAGCACACGTACAAGAGCAAAGCCTGAAACGCAAGGAATAATCAACAGTACTCAGGCCAAGGGAAAAAAGATAGGGAGGGGGATTTTCCCCTCGACAAACTGCTCTCAAAGGTGCCACGAACAGGGGGAAAAATTGTTCGAGGATCGGTACAAACCCAACACACACACAGAGAAAATAAAACCCTCTCAAGCCTTTTCGCCTCTCACGAGCTTTTTGCTAACTCGAACATAGACATCGTTATCAAGGTCACACATCTCTCGCTCAGGGCTCAGGAGAGGCAGGGAAGAGTCAGGCAAGTTAGGGAAAAAACCCGCCGCTCGCGTAACTAAGCAGGGACAAGTGACATTTTATTTGAAAGCATGCGGATTACGGCTGCCATCAACTGACAAACCTGACTTGAATTCTGTTCAGACTAAATAAAAGAGAAGCTACAAGGGCACTCGTTGGAGGGAAACGTAAGCGAGAGCACAACCCCACCAGCACGTACCGAAGGCAAAGCCCTTCTCCCGTGCCCACAATTAGCGCTTCTCCTCTGATTCTCTCCACTCCTGCGACTGTTTTTTGGGGGGGGTCCCCCCCAAGCCATCGCTATTTCAGGCGGTATTTGTCAGCCAGAAAGCCCTCTCCGCCGGTTATTAACCAGACAGACGAGCCGAGCTCAGGAAA